GAGAGAGAGAGAGAGAGAGAGAGAGAGAGAGATATGCACAGGAAGTTCCAGAAGAGCCAGAAGTATACCCATGCCACTGCACTATGGCTAGAATTTAATATTGTTTTCCAAACTGTGTTCTCTTACCATATGCAAACAAAGCTCTTCCTATGAAAATGAGGAAGGGTGTGTGAGAGAACAGAGGGAAGGGGGAAGAAGTTAACGGAGACAGGAAGGACTGACTGAACAGCCAAACTGTGGTAGGCACTCTGCAACCTGTCTGCTCCTCAACGGGTAGTTTTGCCAAAAAGAAAGAAAAAAGGACAGAGGGAAGGAGGAAGAGAGGGAGGGAGAGAGGGAGGGAGGGAAGAGGGAAGGAGAAAAAAAGGGACACACCACTTTATAGGCTGAAGCTACAAATGACAGCAAGCACCCTCTTCATCAAAACAACCAAACTAAGGATCAGGCCCTGACAGTATGAATTCTCTCCATCTAGACAAGAACAAAAGGTGGATTGTTTCCCTCCAGTCACCTGACAAGACAGGAGAAATTCCCGAAGCTCTCCACCTGCTCTGGACACTGATACCCAGGCCTCGAGACTCCACCCTCCAGCCCCTTAACCACACACTCCTCTTGTCTTGTTCCCCGCTTCCCTTCCCATGCATCTTTCACCCAACAAAGGCCACAAGCCCCTGCAGGGTGGGGACAAAGTAACTTACCTCAGGGAAATGCCTTTTCTAAGCTGGAATCATTTTGTGTCACTTACGAGAGACTACATAAAACGCATTTGCTGAGCATATCAGAGCAGCCACAGGCTCTGAGGGCCAGGTAGCCTTCAGAGGTCCTAGGTCAGGACCCATATATTAAAGATGAAGAAGCTGAGGCCTGAAGAAGGTTGGGCCCATGGCTTACGGTTTGTCTAGCTAACCCCAACACCCTCTGCTCCTCACACTGCCCTGCATCATACCTGCCTGTCTCTGGTCCCCTTGCTGGGAGCTGTGGCCAAGAGAAACAAGGAAGTCAGTTACCTTCCCCAGTGGGAGTGGCTCCGGATCCAGGAGCTGGGGCTGCATTCTAGTCCGTACATCACCGTGTCCCCATAGTCCAAAAAGGGTTTGTTCAGTCTGGGGGGTGGGGATACAGGAAAAGCAGAATGCCTGGGTTAGACCATGACAGTAAAAAGACAGATGAAGCTACTAAGACATGGACCAATTCTCTACCTGTCACCCTAGAGGACTTCTGAATCCCATGAGGACCTAAGTGGAGTGCATGTATGTATGTATGTGTATGCACATGTATACATGTTGGTAGGTGTACAGGTTCACATACACGGAGGCCAGAGTGGATATCGGATGTCTTCCCAGATCATTGTCCACAGTTTTACTTTCCGAGATAGGATCTCTTACTGAACCATAGCTTGTCTACTGTGCTAGAATGGGTGTCGAGGAAGCCTCAGGGCTTCTTGCCTCTGCCTCTCCCATGCAGGGGTTGCAGGAGCTTACCTCTGCACCAGATTCTTTTGTTAATATAGTTACTGGTGATCTGAACTCAGATGCTGAAGCCTGCACATTAACCATTTTACCAAACGAGTCCTCTTCCAACCCTTGGTCACAAGTATTAAGTGAACAACACAGTCTTCATCAAAATCCACAAGCATAGAATGTGGTCTCTGCCCACTGGACAGCTGTAAACTTAACAGATAGCAACGAACTCCCCTACCCGAAAGGTCAAAAATGTCAGTAGTAAGGAGGGGAGGCAACACTTGTAATGGCAGTAGCCATCCCCAGCTGGGTGACAAGCCCAGACGAGTTGTCCAACCCACTTTTAGACTCTTGAAGGACCCACACTGACAACCTCCACCCCTCGTGAAGTGGCTTGGGACTCTCACCTACGACATAAGTGATGAGCACACTTCACCAGGATACCCATGCAGTGCACGGCCACGATGCCAATCACCAGCAGGCTGAGAGGACCCAACTGGGGACCGAGGTTGCAGACAAAAGGGGGAGAAGAAGGCAGAATTAGGAGAGAGCCTGAAGGAGACTGGATGTACAGATGATAAATGCTATTAAGGCACTTCTAGGAACCCAGCTCTGTCCAGCAGGAGAGAGAGAGAAGGGATCCAGGAGACTGCATCTGCATGTGACCTCAGCCCTGGTCTAGACAGTTAATCTTGTAGAGAACAGTGACCTAAGATAAGCTCCTTCTGGGGTTGTCTTGGATCCACAGGGCAGAAGTTCCTGGCAGGCTCCGGGATGAAGCAGGAGGGGAAGTAATCTTGAGGGCCATCAGCGAGGTCGGCACTTGGACAGTCACTGTCTCTGAAACCATGGCACTGGGCAAGCAGGTTACGTGGGTGAGTCAAAGGGGGGGGGGACAGGACTGTCAGCTAACGTCACTGACCCAGGTTCAGAGCCTACGAAGTGCCTGGCACACAGAAAGCCTGATGCACAGCTTTTGAAGAATGAACGTCTGAAACCCTTACCAGGAGGCCTGCATTCTTCACTGCCAGAGGCAGCCCCAGCAGTCCCGTGCCGATGTTGCCTTTTAGCAGGTGGATCAAGGTCTGGAACCATCTGAGTAAGAAGGCGAGCGGGAATCATTAACCACAATGCCAGCCATATCTTATCTGACCTCCCAGCAACCTTGTGCTGTTTTATTTCAAAGATGAGGGACCAACCTGTTCAAGGAGCACTTTATTTTATTTATTTATTTAGCGGGGGTTTGTTTTGTTTTTGTCTGTTTTCAGACAGACTCACTAGATAGCCCTCTAACAGTTAGTCATGTAAGACAAGAGACTCAACTTTCCTACTGGGCCAGGCACAGTGACATACACCTTTAATCCCAGCACTTGGGAGGCAGAGGCAGGAGGATCTCTGTGAGTTCAAGGTCTACAGGGTGAGCTCAAGGACAACCAAAACTAGAGACCCCACAACTCCTATCTCAAAACAACAACAAAAAGTTCCTATTGCACTTTGAGAAAACAGAAGCCAACTGCTACTGTGGACCCAGGCTAGAGAAGGCCTGCCTCTTCAGTGGGTCCTGGGGTTACCCCTGTACCTTAAGGGCAGATGTGCCTCTGACTTTGTATAGCCTGCCCCACTGTGCTGTGACATACATAAACCCTCTCTTGGGTCCTCACTCATTTATTTTTTTCACTCAACAAACACTATATGCAGCTATAAACAGTGGGTGTGGGTGAGTCACTGTGGATGCCGGCTTCTAAAGATCTGTCATATCTGCAGGAAAACAAAAGACTGAGGGGCTGGGGGACAGAGCCAGGAAGAGTTGGGGCAGGTGAGTGGAGGGCAGAGACCTGAGGCCAGCTGGTGACGTGGGAGAGGGGTAAACACCACAGGTGAGGAAAAGCCGCAGAGCCTGCTGAGTAATAAGGAGCACATGAAGAGGAATGCTGTGCCTTAGTGGCACGTGGGTTGTTGTGACAGCAAGGGTGAGACAGGAGTTCCCCCTTCTCTAGGGAAGGCAGACCCATCCCAGTTACACAGGAGTGTGCCAGCTGTGACCTGTCTTTGTATTTTGTTCCCCAGTGACAGAGTAGGAAAGAGCTTGACACTCAGCCTTCTATCACCCAGAACTTGGAACCCTCAAGATCCCTCAAGATTGTCACTTGCATGCAAATCTGCATTTGGCAGAAGTCAAAAGCCAACAACACTTTCGACCCACGAAGGCCCTTCCCTCAGGTCCACCAGGAAGGAGATCCGAACCACCTGCCATCCTGGTATCAACCTGCCATTCTGGCACCTACCATCAGGAAAAGGCCTTTGACTCCCAGGAGAGATGTGCTCCCTTGTTCTACTCTGAAGCCACACAGTCCAAAGGCATTATGAACAGCCAGTGGACAGGAGATAACGGGCCTGTTAAATCTCCATCTTGTCAAACAAATGTTTAACCCACTTAAGTGCAAAGGTAAATCTGTACCACACCCTCCCACTTCTCTGAAGCCTCCCCTGAATGCCTCTGTGCTGGGCTTCCTGGCCCTGACCGCTGCCACTCGGCATGACCACCCCTTCCAGTCTAGGACCTGTCAGCCCATCTGTACTGTGAAGTAACTGTGGAGTGCTCTCGGAGGTCAGAAGAGAGGGTCGGATTCCCTAGAACTGACTGGAGTTATAGACAGTTGAGTTGTCATGTGGATGCTGAGTATCAAACCTGGGCCCTCTGGAAGAGCAGCAACCATCTACATCTCCAGCCCCTCATTAAAAAAAAAAAATATTTGTCTGTGTGTGTGCACACGTGCGTGAGTGAGGGTACCCTCAAATACCAGAAAATGGTATGGGATCCCCTAAAGCTGGAGCTACAGGTCGCTGAGAACAGCTCACTGTGGGTGCTGAGACCAGAACTCAGGCCCTCTGCAAGGGCAGCAAATGCTGTTAAGCACTGAGCCAGCGTTCCAGCATCACGTCCCCCACGGCTGTTTAAAATATCTCCTAAACGTCTCATCTGACGGGAGACAGCTGGGTGTCTGTCTCAATCTCTATATGTCGTGTTGCTGGTGGAACTCTAGGAGAGACTGTGCTTCCTAGACGTGCAGCTGCAAAAGGAAGGGACATTTTAACGCCTCTTCAACTATGACAGTTCCTCTGACACTGCTCCAAAACGAGACGCATGGGTTCTTTTATCAGCTGCAGTGTGGAAGCTGAACCTCCCACGATCTGTTTCCTTAACCCACCGCTGCTGTGCTGTCTGCAGGGACCTTTCTATCATGCACAATTTCCTAACTCGTGGAGGTTCCTGGCTCCTGAGGCACGAGCTCACCTAGTTCCTTATATAAGCTCAAAACTTGGCGTTGGAAGGTTCCCCTTGACCTCATGGGAAACGAGCACACGACGCTGGCTGGACACCAGGGTGACTCGCTCGCTCTGCTTGTTTGTTTTCTTCTAATTTTGCTTGAAAGCTCATGTGAGAGCCACGAAAACGCTGCTGGTGTTTTCCTTGAATTAATGGGTTCATTTCATTTTCAAAGGAAATGCTAAATACTTGGGTCTGAAAAACCAAGTTAGCTGGTTGTTCTCTCTAGTGAAATAAACCATTTCTATGGGGAAGAAAGAAAAAGAACAAAACCCCAGTTAGTTCAGTTGACAATTAGTATCTGGTATTTTCTATTTAGACTACTAAGAGCCCCATTGCTAAAGGTTGCAACTTAATAAGAATTAATGATCTCTCTCTTATCAAGGACTGTTTTGGTCACTGGAGACAGGGTCTCATGCATCCCGGGCTGTTCTTGAACTCCCTATATAGTCCAGGATGATCTTGAGACTTCTGATCCTCCCGTGTGCCACCTCACTGAGTTTATGTGTTTCTGGGAACAAGACCAGGGCATAGTACATGCTAGGCAAGCACTCTGCCACCTGGGCTACAGCCCCAGCCCTTGTCAAAGCCACTCAAAAGACTCTGGCCTTTTCCTTCTACTTGCATGCTTCTAGGACAATGTGTGGGGGTGGGGTGGGGAGGGAGAAGTATAGTGTGAGGGGAGGAAGCTGCAGACATACACTGCCCTGCATCCTCCTGCACACATTAAGAGAGTGAAAGACAAATGGCATCTTGGCACTTTGAGGAAGGGACCTAGTCTTGAAACCCCAGAAGCTCTGCAGATTGTATTTGGCTGTCCCAAGGCAACAACACCAGCAGTTGCTGATATCCCGGCCTGCTGACCTTTGGATGCTCTACTGAGATGGGATAGAGAGCTGTTCCTAACTATTCAACAGGACAATAAGAAAATGTGCCCTACGGTATAAACTGTCCTACTGTGTGTAAACCAGCCTCCAGTGTTAACAGAGGATGCTGTCAATGCTCTCAATGGCTCTACGGTACCAACTGTTAGCTGAAAAATCACTATTACTCTGTTACAGAAAAGTCTAAAGTTCCTATCTGCACTCACTATTTTGGGCTTTTAACTGAGCCTGTAACTTGTAGAAGAGTCGGGTGTGGTTAGGTAGCTCTTCCAAGGTACTTTGCTCCTTAATAAAGTAGATAACAGGAAGGATAAAGGCTTCAAGTCACGTCCCCCACACTACCTGAGAGAGATTAACAAGGGTCCCCAATCAGCCTTGGTCCACCTGGCATGTTTCCTGAATAAATGCCTGTGTGGATCCTGTCCTCAGGCTGGAGTGACCGATACTCTAAGACCCAAATGAATACTTTGCCCTGTATCTTGGGAAATGTCCTAATACAAGCCCAAAGAAAGAACTGTCTGCTTGGCTTGATTTCCAGAAAACAGGGAAGTGATAAAGGCAACCTTGAGGACAGTCCAGGCACATATCCTTTGATGGCTCACCTAGAACAGCCATTCTGGTCTTGACTAACTACCTGGACTTGACTTTCAGAGAAGTCTCTACAAAAGTGAAAATTTAGACTGTGCACAGAAAGCTCTGTACAAACAAACTGAAGATTAGAAGAAGTATTTCGCAAGCCCTCAAGAGACCTCTTTCTCCACACCGATGGGACAGATGGAGTCAGAGGGAAGACAGGAAGGGTGTCCTGGCTGTCACCAGCTGTATCATACATAAGTGATCTTTTTCCTCCAGCTAAATTTGCAAGTAAGTCAGGAATCTCTAACAGTGGGCTGTATGGGGCATAAGCTAAAAAGCCAGAATCTCTATGCTAATGGTGGCAAGGAGCTAGTCATGAGCCTCCATTTTCTATGCTCACCTCAGTTCACAGGGGGAAATAGCCCTCCCAGGAGAAAGTGCAGGCAGAGGGTACATCCCCACAAGTCCCCTTGAGCTTCCACAGTCCCCTTGAGCAGTCACGGAGACTGGAGGCATGAGGCATTACAGTAAGACACAGAGCCACCCTCAGTAAGTCACACCCAGCCACCAGGGACATTAGAAGGGTGACATCTGAGATTGGGGATAAATGATAGGACTACTAAGGACAGGGACCTGGGACCTTGACAAAGGCCAGGGGCATGCTGGGGAAACTCAGAACAGAACCCCTCCCTCTGAAGTTTCCAGCTCACGGAATGAACCTCACACAGCCAAACCAGTTTCCCAGTGGGCTTCTCAACTTGTCCTTACATCAGGAGAAATTGCAAACCAGAGGGTCAAACGTGGTGCAGATAAGATTGGGGTTTCAGCTGACAGGTACAAGATGGCAGCACCCTTAAGGAAAGTGGATCTCTCTTCTACCAACCCTGGAGGGCTCTAAAATATAGCTTGCCACTCCCTCCCACCATTTCTTCAGCCAGGTGCCGGGAGAGGAGTCCCAGGAGGCTCTGCCAAGAAGGCATTAATGGGGCCAGGAGGCACCCAATACTGGGTTCTAGCCCAAGACATTATCCCTCATGAAGCTTTTAAGTCCAAGCTCTTCCTGGCCACCAACTTTCTGGAACTAACAAGAAATAAGCAATGACTAGGGAGGGGCAGAGTCCCTTGCTGGTTCTGCCTATAGATAGCCTACTTTCCTCTGTCAAGCAGAGAGTGTGTAAAATGGGAAGGTGGAGGCACCAATTGCTCCAAGGGACACTTGGGGACAGGAAAGACCACTCCATGGCAGAAGGTCGCAAGTACTCACGTCATGCTACTGTTCTCTCCCAAGCGCTGGTAGGAGCCGGGGGAGAAGCTCCCGAGGCCTTCGGATGGGCTTTCCTCGGGGCTCACATCAGTGGAACTGTAGTCATGATAGTCTTCGTTCCGGAGCCTCTGTGTAGACATGGTAGCTGGGGGGACAGAGGCAGTGCTAAGGTCTCCAGTAGATGAGGCCTTCAGCTCCAAGTGTGGAGTAGGCTCAGAAGCAGAGGCAGACATTGTCACAGCTGCTCCCAGTGATGGATGGACTATGGAGTGAGTCTGACTAGAGTGCCCAGTACCAGTCAAGAAGGATGCAAGAGGCACAAAGTCCACAGGCAGGCTGGGCCTGTTCGCCCTCTGCCTCCCCACCTTCCCACAGGGTGCCCTGCTCATAAATTTCTAAATTCATCCCAGGGCACCTGGGCAACACACATGTGAAGTAATGCTGGGCAGGGCAGGGTAATGCAAGTATACACTTTCAGGAACCTAGTCTTCTGGTTGAGTTCACCCCCACCCTCATCTGAGCTTATCTATTGGACATCAAACAGTAGTTAAATCACACACCTATCAGTGAGCTACCGGGAGACATGAACCCAGATGATACTTCATATACCTTTTTTATCCTTTGCCTTCAGCAGAGGACACAGTTATACTCATGGAATCCCCTCTGAGTTACCCAATTCTGCTTCAACTTCACAAGTTCCCAAACCAAACCAAAACACCTTCTTTCCCATAATGAGCTCAGCCCAACCTACAATCACCTGAAAAGAGAATCTCAAAGAAGGATTGTCTAGATCAAGTTTGCCTGTGGGCATGATAACTCTCTTAAGAGAATTATCTTAAGACAACTGATGTGGGAAGACACTGCCCACTATGGGCAACACCATTCCCTAGGAAAAAAAATCAAGCTGAGCACAATCAATCAAGTGAGTATGTTCATATTCATTTCTTTCTGCTCTCAGCTGTGGATGTAATTAACTGTTTCAAGTTTCTGCCACCTTGACTTCCCTGCAACAAATGGATTATAACCTGAAATTGTTAGCTGAGCTAAAGCCTTTCTCCTCTAAGCTTGTTTGCATCAGGGCCTTTCCTTCATCACAACAAAAGGGATGAAACTAGGACAGAGTTATCAGGAAAGCTCACCTTCTCCCCCTGGGCTCATTTCTTGACACCAACCTCACTATTGGAAAATGGTGGCTGATCACAGCTCAGAAGAGAACATGAGATATCCTAGATTTGTCTCAGTAGCTCCTCTCCATGATGCTCTATTGGGGCTCAGAAAATGATATCCCAATGTACAGTATAGACTACAAAGTACAGCTTTGGCATGTCAAGCACTTTGTACTAAAGGAGACCTGAAGACCACAGAAACTGCCCCAACAGCAAAGTCTGTTGACTCTCTCCTGTCCCATTGCCCCCCCCCCCCAACTTTGTCCCTGAAGTGAGTCTCAGAAACTAGATTTCTTCCTAATCTGCCACAAAAACCCAAAATGGCCATTCTGCCCCTTCTGCCTTCTTAGTCCTGAGCTGGAAGAAAGGACAGTTCCACACGGGCAGAAAGGATCTGAGAGGCTGGACTGGCAGAGTATAGCTCAGTCAACTTCCATTACCGCACACTCTGTGGCCAGCCTTCCCATACAGCTGCCCCACTTCAGCAAGTTACAGAAATGGAAATATGAGCTCACAGATGGACTGTTCCCCTCGGTCCTTCCATATGCTTCTCTGAAGGCTCTCCATGTCACATAAAATGTTGACTAAATAAACACTTGCACCCTTATTAATCCATCTTATCACAGGAGTGTTGGCTGTGACCTTCATGATGGAGGGGACCAACGGTGACACCCTTCTCAGCCCTATGCTTTCTCTTAAATTTTATAGATTTGCTCATGTTTAAAAGATGGTAAAAGAACTAACCCTCCCTGATGTGAACTGCTGAGGGATGGTGAGGGTGTGCTCTCTCCTCATGGCGTTGGGGAAGAGGAGAGGGCGGGGCTTCTCTCAGTTGAAAGTTGTGGAAGCCCCCAGAATCCTGGCCTATTGTTAAGGAGCTTCACAGGTCTTCTCAAGCTCCTCATTGCATAGATGAAGGACCTCCCCAAAAAGATGGAGGACCTGTCCTGCTAAACAGTAAGTAGCAAGTGTCTCTCCTTCCTGACAGCCTGTTGGTCTGGAAATGTCTACTGATGACAGTGCCAGGTGCTGTGGCAACTAAAGGGAAAAGAGTCACCTTCCTATCCTTCAAGAATCTGCAGTCAAATAAGGGTGGGAAAGTACAGTAGCAATAAAAGTGATCAATAAAGCCCGTCCTCCGTCAGGCTCTCCCCAGCATGCAGACACCAGCCTGACTCTGAGACGCAGCCTCCCAAGGGAAATGCATAGTGCAAAGTCACTACAGGGCCTGTCTTAGTTCATTTTCTGTTGCTGTAACAAACTATCAGAAACTAAGGAATTTATTAAGGAATGAGCTCACAGCTGAGGGTTCAAGTATCTGCTCCCCTCAAGGGTCTCACTCTTCTTTAGGCATGGCAGAACAGAAAAACAGTAAGCAAGTGAGGAAGAGTGGTCACAAGAATGGAAGAGGAGGGCGGGTGGTGGTGGCGCACGCCTTTAATCTCAGCACTTGGGAGGCAGAGGGAGGTGGATTTCTGAGTTCGAGGCCAGACTGGTCTACAGAGTGAGTTCCAGGACAGCCAGGGCTATACAGAGAAACCCTGTCTCGAAAAACAAAAAACAACAAAAAAACAAAACAAAACAAAACCCCAAAAACAAAAAAGAATGGAAAAGGAGAGGTCACAAGATGAGAAGAGACCAAGGGGAGGAGACACACTCACTTCCTAATGGTTTGTTCCCACAGTTACTAACACACTTGCTGGGCAACTATATTAACCCCTCCATGAAAGTGGAGTCTCTTGAGACTCTTAAAAATCACTGCCTTAGGGGCTGAGCCTCAACATGACTTTTGGTGTAGATAAAGCACATTCAATGCACACAGTACCAGCAACCCCAGGGAGTAGCCTCCCTACCTCACAGCCGCCAGTGAGAGTCTCAGGGTTCCACTAACTCACATGATGCAGAGATTCAAGCACACCTGGAGAGAATAGACTCACTAGTGGACCAGGAAAAGAAAACCTGCCAAGCACACTGATGTAGAGAGCTGAAAACCTGTCATTAAAACCACAGCTTATACATCGATGTGCATGACAAGGGGCCTGGGTGTGAAGTTGGCCTCTGTCACCAGCTTGATTGGTAACCCTGACCGGTTTTCTCTCCTATGATCTTAGCTTGCAAATGTAAAAAGCAGAGTGGGAAGTGCAGACTGGGGCTCCTGTAGCTCTGATGTTCCAATCAAAGGACATAATTACTTATGTGAACATCAGGTTATTTCTAGTCTCTTCAACACACAGGATGTATCTAAGTAGAACCTTGTATGTGGACTGTAATGTTACCGAAGGCAGGTGATGGAGAATCCTCCAACTTCTTCCCACCCACCACAAAACCACTATGACTAGGAATGCTGGCACACACTTATAATCCTAGCAGTCAGGACACTGAGGCAATAGGATTACAAATTCAAGGCCAGTCTTGGCAATATATTGAGACCCTGTCTCCAAAACCTAGTTAACCCAGATGTGGTGGTGCACATCTTTCATCCCAGCACTATGGAGGCAAAGACAAGTAGATCTCTCCCTTAGGCCAGACCACAGACTCTGTCTTTAAGGGCTGCCACAATAGATTAGACTTGTTATGTGGGACCTTAAAGATCTGTCAAGCTGAGATTGAGAGGTGGGAAGAAGAGAAATAATTGCTTGTTACAGGAAGAACCTACTAGCACAGTTGTCCAGACAGACAAGACCAGCTTGGGAGAAGACATGTTTCCCAGGGCTGGGAATGGAGCTCAGCTGGTAGACGGCTTGCCTAGCATACACAAGGCACTGCCTCCATCTCCAGTACCTCAGAAACCAGGTATGGGGGTGCTGGTCTGTAACTCAGGAGATGAGAAGAAGGCGGCTCATAAGTTCAAGGTCATCCAAGGCCTGGGCTACAGCAGACTCTGTTTCAGAGACAGACAATGAAAAGGAGGAGAATGAGGAGGGGACAGAGAGGTTCCATCTCTGGCGAGGCTACGCAGCAGCCCCATTCTCAATTGGTACTTTGGGGAGGGTGGACACAGCCACCCCATTCTACACAGGACTTCTTCTTCCTGCTCCCCTGCTGTGCCAGCCTCCCACTAGGCTCCCTTGAGGAAGTTAAGCATCCACACGATTCCAACTACTGCCAACTCCTTCCCCCTCAGGAGATTTAATGGGACCTGTTCATGTTGAAATGAGGGTTGTGTAACTCGAGAAAGTTGAAGCAAGCTTGTCTTTCAGGTTCTCGAGTATAGCAATGGTTTATAGACTGCGTGTGGTCCATCAACACAAGGCAAAATCTCCACTCAACAGTGCTCACGGGGAGACTGAGGCAGGATGGGCTGCAGAGAGACAATACAAACTCAGTGATGGAAACTGAACACTGTACCCACCAGAATAAAAATGATATGCCTCATGAATTTGTAATTTTGTATTATCTAAGTGTTTCAGTCATACTACCTTAAAAGCATTCAGTTAAATATTAAGACCAACAAAATTATGTCTTGAGCTTTTGGTTGAGATCCAGTGTAAAAAACGCAAAGAAACAAAGATTTTTTTTTTGCTAGATTTTAATGCTATCACATTGAACTTAGAAATGAGACAGAGTGTGCATTCTTGCCTGTTGGCTTGACTCAGCTACTACTAGGAATCCTTATTTTTTATTGTTTTTTGAAGTAAGGCTCTCTGCAACACAGATTGGCCTCAAACTCCACCATCCTAAGTCAAGGGCTTGGTTACAGGTATGCACCCCAACACTCTGCAGTTTTAGTTTTACTGAGCTTCCTAAGTGACCTTGAACACAGTAATTTACATAAAGTGCTTCAAAGTATATAATCTTATTTGATGCCCACACATCAAGCCTCACCTCCCACAACAGTCAGGCACCGGTGCTAATTATATTAAACAGTTTTTAAGATTTATTATACTTATGTGTATGTGTATGCATTTTGTGTCAGAAAGGGCAGAGCCCCTGAAGCTGGCTTACAAGCAGCTGTGTCCTTCCCATGTGAGTTCTGGGAACCCTGGCCCAGCCTGGAGGTACAGGCCTGCAATCCCAGCTACTTGGGAAGCCAAGGCCAGAAGATCTCAAGGGTTCAAGGGCAAATTCGATTAACCTCAGAGCTGTCTCTCCAGCCCACCGTGGGGATTATTTGCAAACTGAAAGTACAGTCCATTATTTTTCCGTCATGAGCTGGACTTTGGAGCCCAGAGCAAACAGCAAACTCTAAAGACACTAATAGATGACACAGACTGGGTTGCCTAATGTGGTCTACAAGGAGGGAAGTGAAAACGGCTTATATCTACAAGAACAGTTAGAAAGAGCACCAGGCAGCAAGCACTCCACCAAAGCCACCAGAGTATATTCTGCAATCCAGCCTCATGCCCAAGGAGTCCCATGCTGGGGCAGCCACAGGAAAGCTGCTGTCAGCATTGCACAGTGGCTAAGGAACAGGCAAGCATGCTCAGTTTTTACATACACTAAGTGCTAGGGCCAGGCACGACTTCAGAAGAGCCTAGTCCAGCATCTCAGCCAGGGACAAACCAAGGCACATACAGAGATGGCTCCCCCAAGGCCACAGATGCAGAAAGAACTCCCGAGATTCCAAGCCAGCAGCAAATCAGAGTCCCAGACCAATATCCTTCTACCACCAGATGGTATACCACCCTAAAATACCTAGCCCTAAACTAGATCCAGAGCTAGGTCAGCTGGAGGTATTCTGCATGACTGGCATCAGGAAGGCAACCCCAGCTAAGTCACTCTGCTTTTGTCTGGACTCCTTCATCTTAGAGATATCTCCAGTACATCAAGCTATAATACTGTTAGGAAAATAAGATAAAGGTCAGGTGTGTTGCCTGGCACACAGTGGACCCTCAGTGATGGTAGTGATTGTTACCATGGAGACAGCCTGGACCAGAGAAAGAGTCTCTACAGAAACTTTACCGTGTTTTTTTCCAGTTAACATTGTACAAGATTGTCCAGATTTTTCTCAACTTGACACTTCAAGCCAGGGTCACAGTATTATTAGTAAGGGGATTTTAGAGGAACGAAACTGATTCAAATATATACATATATATTTACTTCCTCCTTCTTCCATGTCCTTTATACAGACTGCCACCAGAAGGTGTGGCCCAGATTAAAGGTGGGTCTTCTCACCTCAAAAAATCTGGATTAAAAGTGGGTCTTCCCACTTCAATTGATCTAAGACAAAAAAAAATCCCTCAGAGATATATCCAGACACTTGGGTTTTGATTAACTTCAGATGTAGCCAAGCTGACAATCAAGAACAACCATCACAGTCACCTGGGAAAAGGGACGCTCAATTGAGAAATTGCCTACCACATCAGACTGCCCAACAGGTAAGTCTGTAGGGCATTTTCCTGATTGGGTGCTGTCACCCATGAGTAAGTGGTTTTGGTTGATGTCAGAAAGCAGGCCAAGCAATCCATAGAAGTAAGCCAGTGTTTCTCTGCAGCCTCTGCTTCAGTTCCTACCTTGAGTTCCTGCCCTGAGTCCTTCATGATGGGCTATAAGATGTAAGAAACCCTCCCCTCCCCCAGTTGCTTTTGGCTGTCATGTTTGTCACAGCAATAGAAAGCTGACTAGGATGAGGACTGCGATGAGTCCTTAACTTGGAAACGTTGAGTCAAGTGTTAAAGCCCTGCAACACCCCACACAGACAGACTGTTGAATTCAGGAAGAAAAGCACAGAAGAGCCCTCCTAACCATCTCCCCCTCCAAGAATGTGCAGGACACACACACACACACACACACACACAAGACACACAAAAGCAGCTCATTGAGTCTTGACTGAGTGTCCAGGTTTCTAAGAACAGTGTGTTGGGAGGAGTCCGAGATTCAGCATCTTGTGGTTTTTATGCTATGTACCTTACATGCCAACCTGTGAAGCAGAGGTCCACTTCTTGCATCTGGCCAGGATCCAAAGGAGAGAGGCATTAGATCCCCAAGGCTTGGGGTTCAGGTCAACAAACTAAATGTGACTCTCCTCCACAGGAAAAAGAAAAGTCACTTCAGGAACAGGGTTCTAGAAAGGGTTAGCAGCAGCTGCCTGGCCAGTGGAAACAGAAACAAAGCCATTCACCAGTCCAGCACAAGGCCTTGCTTCCAGTCAGAGGGAAGAAGCAACAAGAAGCTGAAAAGCTGAAGAGTTGAAATCCTCAAGAGGTGGGGTGAAACAGGGTGCTGGTGAGGTAGCTGTCAGTGAAACCTTGCAAACATAAGGACCTGAGTTCAATTCCCAGAATGCAAGTGAAAAAGCCAGGATAACGATGTCCTCATAATCCTGGGGCTGGTGAGGTGGAGAAGGGGAATCCATGGGGCTCATAGCCACCTCAGCCGAACCAATCAGCAGGCTGAAGGGCAAGGCAACTGTCTCAGCAAAGGTAGACAGTGTCTGCGGCTGTGCTCTGACTTACGGAGGGGGATAGGAGGACAGGGAGAGGGAGATGGGGGAGGAGAGGGAAGAGAGGAGGGAGAGACAGAGGGAGGGGAGAAAGGGAGAGATGGAAGGGGGGAGACAAAGATGACAGAGATAAAGAACAAAAACACAGCTGACCATATTTAGGTCAGCTCTCTATCCAGCACAGCAATTTCACCTGCAACGTTCCCCAAGGTAATCAATTAAATGCCCAATGTCAACTCCCTGTGGTGACGAGGAGCTCCATGCTGTGTCCGAGGCAAAAGAGAACTGATTCCTTGAAAGTTTTCGTGCTCAAAAACCACTTCCTTCCCGCACTGATCTTAACTGATCTTAACTGTAGTCTCGTGAATAACTAAATACACAAATCCCCCTCTCCTTTATAGACTCCAGGCTAGACAAAGACAGCTAAACAGGCATGAGGGTAAACAGGCGTGAGGCTGAACAGGCAACCACAGGGTTTAAGGAGAAAATGGAGACATAAAAACAAAGAAGTTGCAGCAGCACAGACCCCAGCAGAGCAGACACAGGCTTAGGTCAAGACCAAGTGCTGAGAACCGAGCCTCTTACTTTTAACCTCAGGAACAGTTTTAAAGAAGCCTGGCTGTAGATGTAGTCTAATTAAAGAGTGTTAGGACCCCCTGGGTTCCATCCAAACAAAAACTAAATGTACCTGTTAGTTACTATAAATTAGGATGCGAACTAGAATAAAAGATATCTCGGTCATGAGAAAGACAATTAAAATTATTTTTAAGTTGCCAATGTCTAGTTTAGCCATAATACTCTTGTTGTAGGCTAGTGCCTACAGAATACAAGGAGGGGGAAATCTCTCCGAATAAAATCAAACAAACAATAAGTTTCAGAACAAAAGGACCCCAGGGGATCCAATCAACCCTACCACCATACACTGAAAACTGTAAACCCAGGTGAGGGAGAATTCAGAGTCACCTAAGGCCGTCAAGCAAGAGGCAAAAGCTAAAACACGCTCTGCAGATTCCCCAATGTTAGTTCTTTTCAGGACACTATGTTGCTATCCTGTTTCAACAAGCCCCCGCCCCACCCCATTCCATCCATATTAAGCAGTCACTACCTAAATCTGTCAAGTTTCAGAAAACAAAACAAAGCAAGCCGTCTTCAAGTTAACCTCAGGGCTAATCATGACCTGGACCCCTCCTGGCCCCTTCAGTCTATCCTAGGCCGTATTTCATATTTCCGTGTGACTTCCACAAAACTGCAGAACGGTTAGAAACAAAGCCTACTGAGTGATGAGTTTGAAAAAAAGGAGAGAGAGAGAGAGAGAGAGAGAGAGAGAGAGAGAGAGAGAGAGAGAGAGAGAGAGAGAGACAGAAGAAAAGAAAAGAGAAGAGAAGAGAAGAGAAGAGAAGAGAAGAGAAGAGAAGAGAAGAGAAGAGAAGAGAAGAGAAGAGAAGAGAAGAGAAGGAAAAAAGAAAAAGCCATCAGTGAACAGAACCACACCCTGAGCTCAAGCCTGGCGGGGAGAAGAGCCCAGACACAGCGGAGCTAAACAAGGACGCGCGACCCACGGCGGAAGGGACAAGTGGCTTTTCGCAGGGCGAGTTTCCCCGCAGATGGCAACGTGGCAGAAAGCAAACAGCTGCAGGAGCTGACACCTTGCTGCGGGGATACTTCGGAAGCCCACACACAGCCCTGGACCTCAGTTTCCCCTACCATCGGAGGACAGGAGTTGCGGTGTGGTACCCTGTGACCCAAGGCAAGGGCATGGCTCGTCCAGCCGCATCTGCAAACGAAGGGTTGGTCTGAGCTGCCCATCGGTGACTGCAGTCTCCACCTGGGAACCATGACTGAACACCTGTCAAAGGTGCTTAGGAGACCTCACCCCACGGGTGACCTGTTCTTGAGCAGTAGCACCCGTTTGGCGGGAGGCGCTACAGCAGGAGGTGAGTCCGGACTGACTGCAGCGCAGGGCATGCACTACTCACCGGTGGGCCCTGCCCGGCCCGGGCTCCGGCTCCGGCTCCCGCTCCTGCTCAGCCCACCTCGCGCAGCCTCAGCGCCGACCCCTAGCCATGGTTTTTCAGCCGCCTGGATAGCTGCTTCCGGAGCCCGTCACGTGATGCTGGCGCCCCAGCCCAGGTCACGTGCCGCTCGACTCCGTGCTCCTCCTCCCAGACCCTTGTTCTGCAGCGCCACCTGGCGGCCTTCAGCCGCTGCTCCAGAAAGGGCAGTGCTTCTGAGACCACCACAGCTGAGGCAGGCGACCAGGATTTTGAGGCCGTCTCCAGAAAAGTCAGCATGCAAAATATCCCTAATTTTTACCCTTACTAAACTTTATTTTTGCAGCATATATTAACGTGCATGTACTGATTTATAATTAAAAATATGCATTTTTTTTTTTTAAATCATGCAGCCAGACCTGATGGTACAAGTTTCCAATCCCAGTGCTGGGAAGAAAAATAGTTCAAGGCCTGTTTGAGCTTCAGAGTGAGTTCAAGGATAGCTTGTGTGACTTAAAGATATCTTGTTTCAAAAAAAAAATTAAAGGGGGCTGCTGGGAAAATGGTTTACTGGGTAGAATGAAGACCTGAGTTAAGATTCCCAGTACATAAAAAAGCCAGGCATGGCAGTGTGTGCCAGTAACATTAGAGCTTGGGGCCAGAGGCAAAAGGATCTCTGCACCTCTTCAGTTTCAGTAGACTGACTGATCTAGTCAGAACAGTGCAGTGGGCTCAGGTTCAGTGGGAGACCCTGTGAAAAAATATGATAGGGGAGCTACTCAAGGAGACAAACAATGTCACCATCTGACTCTCCGATGCCCCACTCCACACACACACATATAATCCATACACCACACACACATACACAAACACACA